CTCCATCATTGGGCAATTCTCAACACAATGGCTGCCATCACAATGGGTGCACTTCATTTCCATCTCGTATCCCCCGGAAAAGCATTCAGAAGTGAATTCAAAACGAAAATCTGTTTGTTTGAGAGTCTTTGCTTTGGAAAGTCCCTTGAAATCTACATTTTCTTTGATGAAGAACTCCTCACAGCAAATTTGTTTCTCGATTAACGGTGTGATTTTGAGACTTCCAAATGTTGACGATGGCTTTGGAACTGCTGGTGGTTCTTGTCGTGGGGATTCGTCGAAGGAAGAGTCTCTCTTGGTGGGAGCGTCTTTTTCCTTTTTCGGTGTGCTTTCTGGATCATTCTCCAAAGACTCCAGTTTCGGGACATCTTTTGCATTTTCAGTATCATTATCCAATGCTTTCAAAGGCTCATCTGACGTTTCCAGTTTTGGGACAGCTCCAGCCTCCTCAGGGGCATTCTCCGATGCTTTCAGAGAAGACTCTTCTGGTGTTTCCACAGCTTCTGGAATCGGACGGGCGATGACACAGTTGACGAAATGAACACGGGTGGTCTCAATTTCTTGAACTGGTTCCGGGAACTTTTCAGCCTCTTCACGAGCATTCTCCAACGCTTTCAAAGACTCATCTGGTGTTTCCACAGCGTCAGCTTGAATCTGTTGAGGCTGGGTAATGACACAATTGATGGAAAATACATTGGCAGTCTCTGGTTCCTGAACGTTTGGAGTCACTTTTGGGACCTCAGAAACTTGATTTTCAGCGTCAGATGGTATTTCCTGCAAATAATATGCTTTTTAACCCAATTTTTTGAATTTGGTGCCAAAATGCCGGTGTCCGAGTAAAAGGGAAAAAAGGCGTGCCTAAGAAAGCCTAAGAAAATGCTGAAACTGTTAAAATTCTCAAAAGTAGCGAAAATTGGACATTTTTCAAAAGAGGAACGATTTTTGACTGTAATAGTTTAAACAGGATTTTGGAAATTTAAATATTCAGAAGTTCAAAATATTCCGAGATTCCGCAATTTAGAAATTCAGAGATTCCGAAATCCGAAAAAATTTGAAACTCTGGAAATTTGAAATTCAAAACTCAGAAATCCAAAAATTCAGAAAATCAGAAGTTCCGAGATTTGGAAAATTAGAAATTCGGGAAATCAGAAATCCAGACGTTCCGAAATTCAGAAATGCAGAAATTAAAAAATTCCGAAAATATGAAATTCTGAATTTTGGAAATTCTGAAATTCTGAAACTTGGAAATTGAGGAACCCAGAAATTCCAAGACTCCTAGATTCCG